AAAGATGGGTGGATGCAGTTCCTCACCAGGAATTCCCTACAGAGAAGAAATCACTGATCCATCTATCCATCCATCCAATAAATAAATAAATAAATGAGTGAGTGAGTGAATGAATGAAGCCATTTGTTAAGTACTTACTACATACAAGATAGTGGGAGGAGGTCCAAGGAGAAAAACAACCATCTCCGCCCTCAGGGATCCTATGTTCTACTAGGAGGAATACCACAGGGGCACAAATACACTGATAAGTAGGCTATAAGGTAGAAAGAGAAGGAGGCGAAGGAGGGGTCAGACAAAATGCTCTAGGGGTGTTTGAGGGGGGTAGAAAATACAAACAGGTGTGTGAGAAGATGAGCATCAGGAAAGGCTTCATGGAGGAGGTGGTACTTGAGCTGAGTAACCCTTTAAAAAAAGGAATTTGAAAGGTTGAAACAAGAAGAGCCCACATTCCAAGCATGGGAGACTGCTTTGCAAGTGCAGGTCAGCAGAACATAAGTCAATCTGGGACCAACTATAGTTAAGTGGCCCATTTTGATTGGCACTTAGAGTAGGTGAAGCAATATAATATGAAATAAGTCTGGAGGAGTAGATTGGAGCCAGACTGTGGAGGGCCTTCCAAAATCCAGGGCAAGGAGCTTGCATTACATCCTAGAGACAATGGGTAGTGAAGATTTCTAAGTAGGGGAGCGTTGTGGTCCAATCTGTACCTCAGAAAAATAATTTTGGCAATTCCGTGGAGGATGGATTAGAGAAGAGTGACTGAAGATAAGGGAGGAAATTAGGAGACAATTAACAATAGTACAGTGAGTAGGGACAAGGGCCTGAACTAGAGGATGGCTGTATGAATATAGAGAAGGAGATTAATGGGAAACATGTGGAGCTAGAATGAACTGGACTCAGCTACTGATTGGATATGGGGGATGGGATGAGAGCAATGGAAAAGTCAAGGATGACTCTGAATGTGCAGGCTTGAGCAACTGGAAAGATGCTCATGCCCTCCCCAGAAACAGCTTTGCAGGAGAAGCAGGTTTAGGAGGGAAGCTGAGTAAGGCTGGATATGTGCAACTGAGAGTCATCTGCACGATGATTCTCCTCTCTCTTCTCAGAAGCTGGCATTCATGATAGGAGGAGTTAGTACCATTTGCCTCCCCTTCTTGATTTTTTGGGGAAGCAGCCCCAGGTAATTTGGATTATCTGGCCCAGCTGCCCCTGAGATAAAGAGATGATCAGAGAGAAAGAGAGGTAGGGTGTTCCCTCAAATCCCAAGACTTAATTGAGTGAGGGGGTGTTCACACAAGCAGCACCAAAAAGCTGGGGCAGAGAAGAAGCATGTGCAATGATTCAGCATAAACATCATTGGATTGAAGACTTCTTGTACTGTGCAAAGAGGGTTTCCCACAACCCCATAAGAAGGGCTGTGAGGACCAGGTACAAAAGAAGGCTTAAAATTATGTGGGGGCAGTATTTTTGAAGTGGTCTAAAACATACTCATAGAGTTGGATCCTCAGAAAGGTTACTACTACCTCAAGTTCTAGAAATAACCCTAGGAGGCTGGAATTCTAACACTATCACTCCCAAGCCCTCACCAGTGTATTTATTGATAACAGTTGGCCTATAGACTTAATTAGCCTTTTAGCAAAGGCATTTACTAAGATGTTTTAACAAGAACAGTTGGTATAAAACATTACCCTCAAAAAGCCTAGGGTGCACTCTCCCACAAATAGCCATAACATCCATGGAAAGATGGGGCTCAAACTTAAGAGTACAATGGGAGTGGGCCACACGAGTCAATAGCCAGCACTTCTCTCCACCATGACAGTTCATGCTCCCTGAAACTATCACCTTCCTCAGGTAGTTTTCTATTCATATTTGCTTCTATCATCGTATATCTCTACTCCCAGCAAGATATATTGTCTCCTACTGCTCCAATGTCTCCATAAACATAGTCAATGGAAGTGGAGGAGAGGAAACCCCACAAAAGTGACTCTCTCTCAAGGGCCTGGTTCTTCCTCCATTCTTGTTCCCAATTCTCCAACTGAACTCTAAGTATTCCAACTCCTAAAATGACTTACTGTTTTTATACATAGGCCCAAGAGGGATACTACCCTCTCAGCCAATCACAAGATGTTTCCTTCTATAACATTATTTGCCTTTATCCAATGGCCAAAGTCAACAATGAGTTAATAAACATTTATTATGCACCTACTATGTACCAGGCATCATGCCAACCCTATGGATACAAGGAAAGGCTAAACTTATCCACACATTATGGTAGACTTGTAGGAGAATTTCTTAACATTTATTTTATACTTCAGATTACATTAATTGAGATAGTGAGTGGAACCTTTTTCATGACACTTGGTACTGAAAGAAGTGATGGATGTGACTGTGACTATCAAGAGATGGATAAAAAAAAATAAAAATTTTAAAAAAGGGGGCAGCTAGGTGGCACAGTGGATAGAGCACCAGCCCTGAAGTCAGGAGGACCTGAGTTCAAATGTGGCCTCAGACCAAACACTTGACACTTACTAGCTGTGTGACCCTGGACAAATCACTTAATCCCCATTGCCCAACCAAAAAAAGAGAGAGAGAGAGAGAGAGAGAGAGAGAGAGAGAGAGAGAGAGATGGATAACATGTTTCATCATGAGTTCCCTGGAAAAGTGATGGTCCATCGCACTGATCAGAATTCTTAAGTCTTACAAAGTTGCTTGTCTTAATAATGTTGTCATTCTTATATAAATTGTTCTCCCGATTCTATTCAGTTCATTCTGTATCCATTCATACAAGCTTTCCCAAATTTCTCTGAAACTCTTCCTTTCACTATTTCCTACTGTACAATTCCATTACATTCATTTAACATAATTTGTTTAGCCATTCCCTGTTACTTTTTCCAGTTGTCCTAAACCTTCAATCCCTCCCCCCACTAACTCTCCAATCCCATGACACTGGCCTCATTGTTGGTCCTCAAACAGGACACTCTATCTCTGGGCTCCAGTCACTTTCACTGGCTGTCCCCCAGGCCTAGAATGCTCTCCCTCCTCATCTCTGCTTCCTGGCTTCCCTGGATTCCTTCAAATCTCAGCTAAAATCCTTCCTTCTATAAAGGCTTTTTCCCACCCCACTCCCCTTATTTATACTGCCTTCTCTCTGTTGATTTTTTCCAATTTATCCTGCATATAGCTTGTTTGTACATGGTTATTTGTATGCTGTCTCTCCCCTTAGAGTGTGAACTCCTTGACAGCCAGAGCCTCTTTTAATATTTCTTTAGCACAGTGCCTGGCACACAGTAGATGCTTAATAAATGTTCATTGACTGACAATGCATAGACACCTCCTTAGCTTCCCGTTCTTTTTGCCACTACAAAAATGAGCTGCTACAAATATTTTTGTACATATGACTCCTTTTACTGTTACCTTAATCACATTGAGTTATAGACTTACTAATGCTATCACTGGATCAAAGTGCATGCCCGTTTTAGTAACTTTGGGAGAACGTCCCCAAATAGAATGACTGCACCAATTCACAGCTCCACCAACAGGGCATTAGTGTGCCTGCTGTCCTACAACCCCTCCAACATGGGTCACTTTCCCTTGTTGTCAACTTTGCCAATCAGATGACTGTAAGGTAGAATCTCAGAGTCACTATCGGTGTTCTTTGAAGAATCACTGACAATGATAGACATGCCTCAGGTGTAGAGAAGGGCAAATATTGTCCCTTTTTTTTTTTTAGGTGAGGCGATTGGGGTGATGTGACTTTCCCAGGGTCACACAGCTAGTGAGTGTCAAGTGTCTCAGGTCCTCCTGACTCCAGGGCTGGTGCTCTATCCATTGTGCCACCTAGCTGCCCCCGTCCCATTTTTCAAAAAAGGAAAGAGAGTGGCATCTGCAAACTACAGGCCTGTGAACTAGATTTCTGCTCCCGGCAAAATTCTAAAATTCTATTATTATTAAAGGTAGGGTTAGTGAGCAACTAAAAAAAAGCAATGATCAGAAAGCATATCAGAAATATGGAATTGTCAAGAATAGGTCACACTAACTAATCTTATTTCCTTTTTTTTATTGGACCTATGATTTGACTGCAGTGGTGGAGGGAGATTGGGGGGAGAAGCAAGGGGAGGGGGGCATGCAGGGGGAAGAGTAGAAAATTCCCACTATTTCTACTATAATTCTAGTCCAGGCCTCACTCCTCTTGGAGCGTAGAATAAAGAGTGCCCAGCCTCACAGTACTTCGGGGTCTGATTGTCCTTCTCCCCAACCCTAGCTAGTGCTTTCAAGCTCTCCTCCTTTCTTCAGAAGTGGTTCAGACCTCAGACTACCCATGACACCCAGGAGTCACATTTAGACAACCCATGCAGACATACAAACCTTACATGGGCACGCACATTGATCTTATGCTAAAATGTGGCCCTGGAATTCAACACAATCCTCTAGGTATGATCTGACCCTGAAAGGGGACAATGGCGCTGTCAGCTCTTTAATTCCAGACACTCACCGTCTCCTAATGCAGACTAAGACAGAAGTAACATATTTGGTGGTGGTGGTGGTTGTTGTTTTTGACTGCCGATTCTCATATTAGGTTTGCCATCCACTAAGACCCCCCAGATCTTTTTCTCTTGAGCTATCATTTATCTGGGTATTCCCTAGCACAGTGGAGAGAATATCTGGCTGTCCCGCTTCCAGCTCTAAGCTCCTTACCCAACTACCACCAGCGGTCGCCTAGTTTTGAAATCTGACAAGCAGCAGAGACCTGACCCTGTGCCCCAGGCCTTTACTTGTCCTCAGTGGGGTTCTCCTCCTGCTGCCTAAGCACCATAGGTCCCAGCCCCAATTAGCAAGAGAGCAGACTCAGCTAAGATTAAGGCTAAGGCAAAAGCAGCAGCCAATGGAAAAGCACAGTAATTCGAAGCGCCCCACCTCTGAGACAGGCACACCCGAGCAGTCCTCTCTTACCCAGGAAAAATAATTTCTCGTTAACTGGAGATGAGTTTTAGCTACACTGTCTTTGGCCGGCTGTGGGGAAAGCAGACCCTTGGGGATCCCTGGTGAAGGAGGAGTCAGGCCAGCAGCAGGCCCACCCACCAGGTAAGTCAGTCCTTCTCCCTCCAACTCCCAGGTCCCCAGGTCCAGATGTGAGATTCTCCGGGCAGCTGGCAAATTGAAAATTTCAGAGATTGAGATAAAGGACAAAGACAAGAAGGGGATCACCTAGCTCAGGACTAACCTGATCCCCGGGAAAATAGGTCCTAAGGCTCCTGATCTAGTTTCCTGGACCTGGAGTCAGGAGCCCAGTGAGGGGGTAGCTGGCAGGTGACACCACCTACACGGAGCATCTCGAAGACCAAAATGGCTCAGAATGGAGCCCCTACTGGAATATACACTCCACCACCCCCTCCCCAAAAGCTGCAGGGCCCAGCCCCTTCCCGGTCCCCATAGAGACGACAAGTAGAGACATGAGTGACCTGCTCCGTGGCAGCTGGAATCCAGATGCCAGAACTGGGTGGGACCTGTTCTGCTGGCTCAGCCTGGGCCTGCCCGGCAGAACCTCTTGCCTGCTTATAGGCTGCAGACTGTCTTACTCCAGGAAGCTGGGCTTCACCGAGCTGGAAGCCCTGCAGGCATGGAGGGAGCAGGGAGCAGAAGCCAGAGCGGGGTCTCCTGGGATGTCCGCTAAGGAACCCTGTAAGGAGTTTCCTTTCTCTTGGCTTCCCCCAAAATCCTTTAAACAGAAGTAAACTAGCACAACTTGGGGTAGAAAGCACCCCTCTTTTAATTCATAATAGTAGTTGATATTTATATAGCATTTTAAGGGTTGCAAAAAACTTTACATATATTATCTCATTTGACCCTCGCAACACTCCTAGGAAGTAGGTTAGGTGTTATTATTATCTCCATTTTACAGATGAGGAAACTGAGGCTCATCAAGGTTTTAAGTGATTTGTCCAGGGTTTATTCAGGCAGTAAAAAGGCTAAGGCAGGATTCTCTTCCTAACAAAGTGTCACATCCATTCCATCAAACCTTCAAATCAAAGATTGGCCCCAAACCCAACTCTTGATTTAACTATTGCTCCATCCTGGGAAACAAGACAATTCAGAATGCTCAGCCTCACATTTCACCTCTGCTCCTTTGCTTCCAGGGTTGGGAACCTGCAGCCTCACTTGAGGACCTAGAGATCCACATGTGGCCTCAAGGCCACAGGTTCCCCACCCCTGGACAATCCAAGAAGGCTTCCTGGCAGAAAGGACCTCTGGAGGGACACAATTCAATTCAGTTCAGCAAACCTCTATTTAGTAACCCAGGATCCTGATCTGGGGAAAGTATAAAGTTTGGGAAAGACTTGCTCCCTGTCCCCCATCCCCTTCCCACCCAATATTTTAGGGAAGATGTGAATAATAACTGACACTTACATAGTTCATTAAAGTTTACAAATCACTTTATTTTCTCCTTGGAACCTCCCAAGAGGCAGCTAATTAAATTCTCATTTCAATAGCTGAAGAAACAGTCTCAGAGAGGCTGTGAGATTAGCTTAGGGACTCATGCTAATAAGTGTCAGAGTCAATATCTGAACCCATGTCTTCCTGACTCTGGGCCGAGAGCTCTAGCTGTCACATTATGCTACCCAATAGTAAATGAGGATGGTGCTGGGACAGGATTTCAAGATGGAAGAGCTTGAAATTTAGTCAAGACCCCCTCATTTTACAGATGAGGAAACTGTGCCCCAGAAAAGCAGCATACTGGAGTGGAAAAAAACATTGCATTTCAATTCAGTGAACATTTATGAAGCACCTACAATGTGTAAAGCACTATAATAGGATACCAAGAGATGCTTCGGTGGATAGAGCACACTTGGACTGAGGAAGACCTCAGTTCAAATCCAGCCTCAAACACTTAGTAGCTGTGTCACCTTAGACAGGTCATTTAACCTTTGTCTGCCTCAGTTTCCTCATCTGTAAAATGAGCCAGAGAAGCAAATGGCAAACCACTCCAGTATCTGCCAAAAATGACAAAAATCGACTGAAAAATGACTGAAAGACACAACCTTCCCAAGGCTGATTCAAGGATCAAATGAAATGATATTTGTAAAGTCTCTTGTATGCCTAAATGTGTTGCGTAAATTGAAGCTGCTGTCGGGTTACAAAGATTAAAAAAAAAAAGTAGCCCCTTCCCTCAGGAAACTTACGATCTACTAGGAAGGGACACAACTCTGTCATACAGTTAGGTAACATACAAAGTAATTTCAAGATAAAGATGGTCCCCACGAATAACTGGGAGAACCAGGAAGGGAGCACCTTCCTGTTTTGAAGGAAGACAATAAGAAGGAGGAAGTGCATTCCAGACATGGTAGCCTTTTAGGGAGCCCCGGCTCTGAAGCCAAGTGTCTGTGTCGGGTCTGACCTTCTCCTCCGTAAAATGGGGACAATAATATCTTCGATGCCTACTCCTCCGCTTCCCCCGCGAGTTGTTGTGAAGGAAGAGTAAGCCTCAAAGGGCTGCGGAAATGGTCGTTATTACTTAGTGATCTGCCTGCCCCAGGTTGCTCAGGTCCTCAGGAATAGAGTGGGAGTCTAATTGGAGCTGTATAATTGGAAACTCTTTTTGCTAATATATCTCCCTGCTGACACCCAAGACTGCTGTTGTTCAGTCCTTTCAGTGGTGCCTGACTCTTTGTGACTCGGTTTGGGGTTTTCTTGGCAAAGATACTGGAGTGGTTTGTTATTTCCTTTTCCAGCTCATTTGACAAATGAGGAAACTGAGGCAAACAGGGTTAAGTGACTCACCCAGGGCCACACAGCTAATAAGTGCCTGGGGCCAGATTTGAACTCGGGAGGATGAGTCTTCCTGACTCCAGGCTCTGTGCTCTATCCATTTTGCCACCTAGCTCCCTTGTGGGTTAATAATAACAACAATTCCCATCCTATTTAAGATTTATAAAGATTTGCGATTTGCCTCACCTTATGAGGTAGGTAGTGCAACTTTCCACTTTTCAGATGAGGAAACTGAGGCTGAGACAGAGGAGAAAGAGATCTGATGAACTTTCTATCCCTGTTGGAAAGAAGTATCATCATTTCAGGATTATAGACCATAAAAGTTATCTAGTCCAACCCCTTCATTTTACAGAGGAGGAAACTGAAGCCCAGAGAGAGAAGTCACCCAAGGAGTAAATGGCCAGGCCAGGATTTCAACCCAGGTCCTCTTGACTCTAAATTCCAGTCTAGTTCTGCCACATCACATTGCTGTCATTAGGCTTTGTTAGGCCTTTGACTGGACCTAGTGCCTGACCCTGGACTGGATTACAATGAATAGGGCAGTCTGAGCCAGAGCAAACTTCTGTAGGTGAACAGCAGGTATGCCTCACTTAACACAATAGCTAGGTTCCTTAATCTTACTTTGGATTTCTATGAACAGTCATTGTAAAAGTAATAAAATTAATTACTTGAAGAAACCACCTAGTAATTATTTTAAAGTGAACAATCACATTGTCCTCCATTTCTCTTTATCAGAATTTTTATCATTTGGGCTTGCTTTATTTAACTAGGGCCTACCTGTGTGGGCATCCCCTCCTTCCTTCCCTGGGGTCTTGCCCAGAGGAGATGCCTCTTCTAGAGTTGACAGCACTCAGCCAGGCATGTAATAAAAGTACTAACATTTCATATCAATTTGGGGCTTCAAGATTACAAAGCACTTTCATCACAACTACCCGGTGAAGTAAGAAATAGGAATATTATTACCCCCATTTTACAGATGAGGAAATTGAGGCTCAAAGAGAGCAAATGTTAGAGCTAGGAGTTGAAGCCAGGTCTCCCTACTCTAGGTCTTATGTCCTTTCCCTTCGCTGAGCCCCCGCTCCTGACCCCTTTAGAAAAGAATAAATAATTCCCTCCAAGCATCTGGCCTGAAAACCCATTCCCGGACTGATCCAACCCATGCCTTCCCTGGTCAACTCCTATCTTGTCCCCCTGCAGCGGCAGCCGAGTTATTGAGGGACAATGAACTGGAGCGTCTTCGAGGGACTGCTGAGCGGTGTCAACAAGTATTCTACAGCTTTCGGCCGCATCTGGCTGTCCCTGGTCTTCATCTTCCGCGTGCTGGTCTACCTGGTGACCGCAGAGAAGGTGTGGAGCGATGACCACAAGGACTTCGACTGCAACACGCGCCAGCCAGGCTGTTCCAACGTCTGCTACGATCAATTCTTCCCTGTCTCCCATGTCCGCCTGTGGGCCCTGCAGCTCATTCTGGTCACATGCCCCTCGCTGCTCGTAATCATGCATGTGGCCTACCGGGAGACCCGGGAGCGGAGACACCGGGAGAAGGTGGGCGAAGGCTGCAGTCGCCTCTACCCGAACCCAGGCAAGAAGCGCGGAGGCCTCTGGTGGACCTATGTCTGCAGCTTGGTCTTCAAGGCCGGCGTGGACTCAGCATTCCTCTACGTGTTCTACCGTCTCTACCGCAACTACATGCTCCCACACGTGGTCCTTTGCAGCGAGGACCCCTGCCCCCATACCGTGGACTGCTTCATCTCCAAGCCCACAGAGAAGAACATTTTTACGCTCTTCATGGTGTCTACTGCCATTATCTGCATCTTGCTCAACTTGGTAGAATTGGGCTACTTGATCAGCAAGAGGTGCTGGGAGTGCCGGAGGGGCAGAAGAAGGGGTGCCAAGAAGGACCTGCTGACTGGGGGTGACCTCATCTTCCTGGGCACAGACCCCAAGCCACCCCTTCTGCCCTTTTCTCCTGATTCCCCCCGAGACCAGGTGAAGAAAACCATGGTATAAAGAGTTGCCTGGACAAGAAGGCCACATGCACTGGTAGGCACCATGCAGCACTGGGCACAGAATTAAAAGGGCAGGGCACTGAATGAAGACCAAGGACCAGACTGGTGGGGAGCCAAGGTTCCCTGTCTGGGTGCCATAAATTCCTTTGGGTGGGGAGACCTTCAGTGGTTCATCTAGAAAGGCTACACTTAGTCCCTGCAGTAAAGGAGGCGTCACAGACAGGGGGAAGGACGGGTGAACTCGGTAATGATGACACTCTGCATGTCTTCCCATCAGGAAGTCCTTTTGAGGGAGCAAGCCTCCATCCCCACTGCCCTACGCCATTGCAGTGTTAGCCTACAGTGTTAATATCCAAAGGAAAATAGAGCAGTTGGACCCATCCTTTCTGCCATTATGGGACAGGACACAGGCACCGGCGTGCTCCCACAGCCTTCACAGTCACACGTCCCTTAACCCATTACCCACTTGGAACTGAGCCCCACGAAGTCTCCTACAGCTTGTTCCCTCCCAGAAGGAAGTCAGACTCAAGTTTGGCCACACTCCAGTTGGAGTCATTCCCTTCCGCCTCCCAAAATTCCTTCTCTCCAGCAGCGTGGAGCAGATGCCTCAGTGCCCTGCCCTGCCCTGCCCTGCCCTTTCACCCCCACCCCCACCCCCAAGCTTCACCTGCCCCAGGGACAGTTAGTGCCCTGTCTTACCCCGCAGGTGCTGGCTGTTCTAGTGAATCATTGAATATCAGAGCCGGAAGGGACCTGAAAGATAATGGAGCCCAACCCTAATCTATAACTCTTCTCCTATCCTTCCTCCACCCCCACATGCACTCCACAGACCTCCATAAGCCCGGTTAGAGGCAGGATGGAAAGACGGACCTCCTCGGACTGCAGTGCTACAGGGTTCCCCAGTCACTGTATTAGTTTCCTAGTGATGAACTCTCTGTTTCTTCTCCTTCCTAATAGATAAACTGCTTGAATTTAGAACTCAAATTAAAAAAAAAAAGTTTAAAATCACATGTAATTGAGAAAAATAAAATAAAAATTAAATGTTAAAAAAATAAAACACTGTTTGGTAGCTGGATGCACTGATCCACTAAGATGTGTTCGAAGGGAAAGGATGAGGCTGTGGGTTGACTTGGAGGAATGAGGTAATGGACCTCATAAGCAAACACTACCTCAAGCTCCCTCCCTGGAAGGAAAGGAAGACTGAACTAGAATCTGGAAGTCCCAACTGGGGCGTTCTCACACAATTCCAGAACTCGAGAATCAGAAGGCTCTTTAGAGACCAGCTGGTCTTAGGCCTCTCATTTTAGGGATGAGGAAAATGGGGCTCAGATCTGAGAGGAGACTTGACGGAGCGCACTCAGCAAGATAGCCTCAGGGTCTAGACCCGAATGCAGGTCTTTTGACTCTAAATCAAAGGCTCATTCCACTGCACTGTGTAACCTTTCCTCTTGACACCCTGAAACTCTTCTCTTAGCCTTCTAGTACTCTGGGAGGATAGCCTTCTCCAACCTCTCCCTACTACCATGACTGCTCGCTCCCCTCACCTTGCTCAGCCCCGAACCCCTTTCAAAATACCAAGTCAGAAGTGGGTCTTAAAATATAGTTTAGGAACCAATCAGGAAAGAGTGAAAGTATTCTCATCACTGTGTTATGAAGGATGCCAAGTTGTGGGACCCCTGGGGACCCTAATCTCCTCATAGGATACACTAGATTAAACCTGGCCTAATTCTCATGTGAAGCACCCCCAGAACCACCATCCTGACTGCAAAAGACAGCAACGCTCTATAGTATGTCTAGTGACTTGCCCAAGGTCACCCTGATTAAAAGCAACATAGGGAGGGGTTGAACCCAGATCCCTATTATCCAGGACAGTGTTTTCTTTTTTACCATAACGCCTGCCACTTCTAAATGCATGTTTCCAGTGGCCAAAATGCATGTTTCCAGTGGCCAAAATGCAGCCTCATTAGGCAAATTTTATCTCCTCCCCCCTTTCCATATTCCCCTCAGCAAGGAAAATCTGTGAATTCTAATTCCCAGTAATGACGACAATTATAATCACAATAGTTCACGTTTAAGTATTTTTTTTTAGGTTTACAAAGCACTTTCAACACCGCAGTAATGAAAGTGTTAATATCCCTATGGGACAGATGAGGAGGAAACTGAGGTTCCGAGATTTGCCCAAGGTCACACAGCTAATTCACATTCTAACAGAACATTGTAACAGCTGAACAATCTAAGAAAACATAGGTCATTGGAATACAGACACATAGGAATACAAGACAAGATGTTGTTGAAGTGACTTGAATTCCCCTCTCCACAGGGGTACTTCCCTGCCCTGGGGGCCAAGGCAGAATCTAAAGTTAACCGAAACTGATAGACAGAAAACCTGCGGAGGCCCATTGCATGGGAAAGTCCCCGCCCCTGCGTGCCTACCGGATTGCCTTGGGAGCAGGAGCGGAGCGCAGCAAAGCTCCAGTGTTTGCTCTGTCTCAGTGCCCGTATTGCCTGCCCAACCACCCACTGGCCCGACAAGGTATCTCGGCTGCTCCGCCCGGCAGGCGATGTGCCTGAGTGGGACAAAAGCTTGAGGGAGGTCCATGGGCAGAGACAGGAGACCTCCGGGGGGTTCTCACTCCAGTGGCAGCTCCGGATTTGAGCTCCGACTCTTCAGGAAATGGGCCAGAGGATAGCCTGCTGGGCCCAGAACAGGTGAGACAGCCCAGTGTGGGGCGGACAGACACCAGAAACCAAGGCCCGGGGTGGGGGGAGACTGAGACTAAGAGCTGGTAACAAGGAAGAGGGAGCTACCCAGGGGCAGGGGAAATATGGGGACAGAGTTGGGACCAGAGGAAGAGGATCTGGACCAGCGTAAACAGAGTAAAACCTCGCAGAGCTTGGGCTTGGACCACCAGAGGTCCAGGAGATGCCTGGCAAAGATTAGCCCATTTAGAGAGCAAAAAGAGCTGGGTCTCGGGTCTTCCTCAAACTTGTGTCCCATCCTTTGGGCACATGATTTCAGCTCCCGTAGTTCACTCCTTACCCATTCTCTGGCAATTCTGGAAATTGGATGAGAACAAAAGAGAGCTATGATATCAGAGCAAGGACTCAAATGTGGATCTAGGACCTGGGCAGAAATTCTTGCCAAGGCGATGAGCAAAAACGGCCAGATCCATCATAGACTCATAGTATTTAGAGTTGGAAGGGACCTTTAAAATAATCTAGTCTAATCCCTTCTTTTTGTATCTCAGGAAACTAACGTCTAGAGAAGTGACGTGATTTGCCGCAAGGCAAATCATACAGGAAAGAAATACGAGGTGCTAGGGAGGGTCTTGAGAAAAAATTAAGTAATAGGAGAGAAATGGAGGACCGCACCTTATCTCAAGGGTGGCCCCACCTCAGCAGCAATCCCAGAGCCTATTTCCCTGGCAGAGGAGCACTGTTGTGGTTCAGTTGTATTCGACTCTTCTTGACCCCACATAGGGTTTTCTCGGCAAAGATATTGGAGCAATTTGCCATTTCCTTCTCCAGCTCATTTTACAGATGAGGAAACTGAGGCAAAAAGGTTTATGCAAGTTGCCCAGGGTCACACAGCTAGGAAGTGCCTAAGGCTGGATCTGAATTTAGGTCTTCTTGACTCCAGGCCCTCCATTCTTTCTACTGTGCCTCCAGCTGCCTAGAAAATGAAAAAGAGTAGAGTCATAAAAAATCCAGGGGTCCCTTCTTTTTGGCCTGGCATGCACTAAGGCATTGTCATGAGCGGAAGAAAAAGCAGTTTATTCTCTCATGTTCTTTGGGTCATACAGATGTTCTTAATTGTTTTGTATGTCAGAGAACCCTTGGCCAGTGTGGTAAAGTCTATGTATCCCTTCTCAGAATCATGGAGTTGTTTTAAATTCAGAATTCAAGGAAATATTAAATATCATTTAGAGGTTAGTGGAAAATTAAGATGTCATTTTTTTCCCCCATCCAAGTTCTTAAGCCCCCTGCTATCTATCCAGGGGACTCCAAGTTAAGAATTCTTGGACCAATGCGAGTCTGTGTGTCTAAAGCCCTCACAAGAAAGGCAGTGCTATGGGAGTTAATCGTTGGAGATGAGGGGGTGGAAGACGTTAGGGGAGCAAGAACTGATTGTAAACTGACTGTATTAAGGGGCAGCTAGGTGGCGCAGTGGATAGAGCACCGGCCCTGGAGTCAGGAGTACCTGAGCTCAAATCCAGCCTCAGTCACTTGACACTAGCTGTGTGACCCCGGGCAAGTCACTTAAACCTGATCGCCTTACCCAAAAAAAAAAAACATTTATTAAACATCTGCTATGTGCCAGGTACCACTGCGCTAAGTGCTGGGGATATAAATACGAAAAAGAAAGACAGACCTTGCCCTCAAGGAGCTTACAATCTAATAATGGAGGAGACAATACATAAAAAGGAAGCTGAAGAGGAAGGGGAAGGCAAGGGAAAGAATTTTCATAGCCATAACAAGAGTGTCTGGAATTTCCCTGCCTTTGCTCAGCCCCAAAGCAGGGAACATATATGACAGAACATATTCTTACTGTCTTTCTTTGTCAGTTGGGTGGGCTAAGAGGTTGAGATATGAGATCTTTTTATTATCCCCGCATTTAAACTATGCAGGGTATCCTGCTGATTTAGGAGTAGATGGGACTAAAGTGTGGCTACTTCCACGTTAGGTGATTCAAGGGACAAGCATCTCCTGCAGCCTGTGTCAGTGAGTCGGACACCATGAATTGGGCATTCCTCCAGGGCCTCCTGAGTGGGGTCAACAAGTATTCAACCGTTCTTGGCCGAGTCTGGCTGTCGGTGGTACTGATATTTCGAGTACTGGTGTATGTCGTAGCAGCAGAGGAAGTGTGGGACGACGACCACAAAGATTTCGACTGCAACACTCGGCAGCCGGGCTGTGCCAACGTCTGCTACGACCACACCTTCCCCATCTCCCACATCCGCCTGTGGGCCCTGCAGCTGATCCTGGTCACCTGCCCCTCGCTGCTTGTGGTCATGCACGTAGCCTACCGGGAGGAGCGGGAGCGGAGGCATCGCACAAAGCATGGGCCCCAGGCCAGGCCCCTCTATGGCAACCCAGGAAAGAAGCGAGGAGGCCTCTGGTGGACCTACCTACTGAGCCTGATATTCAAGGCTGGCGTGGACGCCGGATTCCTGTACATCTTCCATCGCCTCTATAAGAATTATGACATGCCCCGCGTGGTGCACTGCTCTGAGGACCCCTGCCCCAATGTGGTAGATTGCTTCATCTCTCGGCCCACGGAGAAGAAGATCTTTTCCTACTTCATGGTGGCCACGGCTGTTATCTGCATCCTGCTCAATCTGGGGGAGGTGTCCTACCTGATCTGCAAGAGATGCCAGGAGCTCCTAGGTCCACAGAACTCTAAGCATCGGCAGCATCGGAGGCGTGGCCACCATGGCCCCTTGGGGTCTTTGCAGGATGCCTGCCCCCCTTATGCTCCCTCCCAGGCTTTGCAACAAGGTGACTCCACCAGGGATGTCACATTGCCCTGTTGAAGTCTCTTATTTCAAGCAAGGACGGAAAGACAGGACAGTCATAGAAAAACCCTGCTTCTGGAGTTAGAAGAACTGAGTTCTTCTATGCCTTAGTGACTTTGGGCAAGTCCCACCTCTAGTCCTAAATCTTATCATCTGTATAATGAGAAGGTCGGACTAGATTATGTCTAAGGTTCCTTCCATCTCCAAATCTATGGTCCTATGACTCGATATTGACAGATTTATAAACATCATGGCGGGCAGGGATGGATGGAGGGATGAACCACTTTCTCTCCAATCAGCTCAGTCAAAGTCCCCTCACCTGAGGAAATGTGATTTTAAGTGAGCAGCAGACCCTTAGGAGGAGTAGATAGGGTAAAGACAAACTTGCCACCAGCAACAGAGCCTGTCCCTGGAAGGGTACAGGGCCAAATAAGCAAAAAGTTCAGCTTCTGTGTCTCCTTCCCCTTAGGAACTCTCCCTCCCATAAGCCCCATTAGAGGAGCTAGTGTAGGGTGGTGGGGTCACCATGAAGAGATGAAGGCTTTCTCAGGGACTGGATTGGGACCTCACATGTATACATACCTACAAAAGGAAAGAATTCTGAATTAAAGCATTTTATAAGTACTTGGCAAACAGCTCTGGCCTTGGAAAGCAAGTCAATAATATTTAAAGTAATTCACCCCTACTCTCTAGGGAGTAAAAGTCCTGGGGATGTGGGATAGAGGGAAGGAGAGATGACAAGATGGGGATAACTTCCTACAATTAAAGATGTCCACTTCTGGAAAGGGCTGCCTTGAGAAGCAATGGGTTCTCCCACAATCACACACTGGCTATCTTCAAGCAGAGACTGGATTGGGAACCAGTTGCTGGGAAAGGGGCTCCTATGCAGGGTCATTTTGGATAAGACTGCCTTTGAGGTCCTTCCAGCTGTGAGCTTCTAGGGGAGAAATGATGTCCCTTTTCTACTCTAGTTTTGGAAAGAGTCTGAATGATGTCATCGCCCTGAGATGATCAAGTCAAGACTCCCCTTTGGGCCAAGGTGTACCCCTCAGGCCAGCAAAGGACAGAGAAGGTTGAGGATATCCCATCAGCTAGGGGACAGGTCCCAAATGGCTTCCAAGGCTTTGGCCCAAGATAGAGTTTAAAGAGGAGAAAATCTGGGAAAGACAGGCAGACAGACACCCACACCCACAATCCCTTCCCTCTGCCCAGCTCACTACCCATTACAGACTGGGGCTTGCCTCACTGCAGATGACTCAGCCTTGGGTATGGAAAGGGGCACTTAGGGAGAGACAGAAGAGCTGGAAGGAGAGGGGAGGGGAGGGTGAGAAGCAGGGGAACCACTGCTTCCCTCTAGTTTATTATTTGTTTGTTTTCTTCAGCAGAGGTGGGGTATGAAGGGAGATGACAGAGAAAGAGGAGTAAGGATAGAGTTCTCAAAAGAAAAAATGAGAACAGAAGGAATCTCAACCAAACAGAACAGCTTTGAAAGTTACATATTGGATTTACTATACAATTTAAAAGAAAAGCGAGCTCTACATAATAGAAGTGAGCTTTTTATGTGTAGTCTTTCCTTCCGTTCTACAATGTATGTGAAAATACTCATTTTATTTAGTTGTTGTAAAATTCAGAATTATTTAAAAATAAAATGGAGATTTAAAAAAAAACAGTTATTTTTGTCCAAAAACAGTTGTACTGGGTGAGATGGAGGGGAGAAAGGAGTGGAAGGGACCTAGGGAAAGGCAGTTTGGGGAATACACCAGTGGCATCAAGCATCTAATGACTTGTCCAGAATCAAGCTGCTCATACCCCAAACAATTAGCATCACTGGGCTCTGGCCTAAGAAACCCCTTGTGGACAAAATCTCAGAGTTGGAAAGGACCTCAGAGGACATCTAATCCAATTCATACCTAAAAAGGAACCTCTCCCTACACCATCCCCAACAAATGGTCATCCATGAAAGACCTCCATTAAAGACTTCATAGGACAGAAAACTCACTACCTCATTCCACTTATAAAATGCTCTAATGTTTGTCCCTTAAAATTTCCTTGAATCTTTACCACCACCACCATCCCCTTATCTGGTAATTATAACAATATCAGCAACTCACATTTATAATGTTTTATAATTTATAAAGGGCTGTCCTTTGAAAACAACTGGCAAGGCAGGTAGTACAAGTAAGTAGTATTATCCCCATTTTACATATGATGAAACTGAGGCTCCGAGAATCCAAGTGACTTGCCCATGGACATGCCTGGGGTGAGAGTCACTGGGCCTGTCATAAAAGAAGGGAGGGACAGTCCCTATTATATACCTTTTTTCCCACTTGAGAAGCTGGGGAATGCCTCTACTGGAATCCTGGACTCATCTTCTGCTCACCTTAATAAAAAGTTATTTGGACCAATTCCCACACACACACATACACACCTGTAGCTCCAGGGAAGATGGCGCCTTCTATTTGAAAAAAATTATATTGATGTATTTTGTTTTTAGGTCAGTTAAACTTTCCCCAGTGTCCTTCCCTTTTTCCCCTCCTAAAGAATCATCCTTTATAACAAGGAATTTTTTAAAAAGGAAAGAAAGAGAAGAAATCAGCAAGACCAACCAATATATGTAAAAAAAAAATCTGATGACATATGCAATACTACTCTCCCACAGACCCCACCTCTGCAAAGAAAGGCCAGAAGCATCTTCTCCAATCCCTTCTCAGGGGCCACCCTTGTGCTTTGTAACTTGCAGACTTCCCTTTTCATTGTGGTATGATGCTTCATCTGTCCATTTACAAGGCTGTCGTCATCTTCTATAGTTTTCTGGGGTCCATTTATTTTCCTGCATCAGTTCACGTAAATCTTTCCATGCCCTTCTGTGTCCACCATATTCATTACATGTTTCCTTTAAGCTTAAGAGCACTTTTCAAAAGGTATCTGCCCTTCCTAAGTGAGACACCAGGCTTAGCAACTCCCTTTCTGGCCCAAATTCCCCACTTCGACCCAAGAGTGCCCTAAGGTATTGAGAAAAAGACTCTGGCCCTGCCTAGCACCTTCTTTCTGACTGAAGATATCCCCAGGAATCCCAAGGTTCCAGGGTGATCAGGTGGGTCAAGGCTCTGTCCCAGGCCAAGGTGACAGAGCCTCAGAGCTCAAAACACTGGATCTGTGTTCAACCTTCCTCCCCCATACAGCTGCAGATGGCTGGCTCAGGCAGCTGCCCCAATTTCACACCCACTGATTACAAGCACACCCACCCCCAGATGACTTCTTGAATCAGGCCTCCTGTATAAGGCACACCTGAGCCCCTGCAGAGGGTGTGCCCAGGACTGACATCCCCAGTCATGCTGGGACCACAACTGAGAAGTGAATGCTAACTTATGGAGGGACAGACAAACACCAGTCCTGGTCATTTTTCCACACGGGACCGAGGAAAAAGAAGCCCCTGAATGAACCATCAGGACTGATTAATCTTAATAGGCTTCCTGGAGGAGAAGAAACATTCCTCTACAGACTCTGGGACTACAGACCCAGAATGACAAGACTGAGCCCTGGATTCTCCCCTCAAGAATAGATCCTTTGTGGGTTACTGCAGTAGTTCCACCTCCTTTAAAATGAGGGAAAAGGGGGTGAAGTCAGGGATGTGAACCTTGACCTAAGCCAAACTTTTGGGGGTTAGTCGATCCCCTGATCCACCTGGCTTCTTTTCTAAACCAAACACAAATGACTTTGGACCATCCATTCCTCAGCTTTGTCCATATACTGGCCCCCTACATCCCCACTAATAGCTGAGGGCTGTCCACATTTGGGCGGGGGACCTTCCTGACCACTACCCAAGCTCTTCGTGCCCTGCACACATTCACCACCAGCCCTTACTCGTGGTGGTGGTGTTATTTGTCCTTCATTTTCGAAGAGGACCAATTACTCTAGGAAAACAGGGAAGAGGAAGGACTGGGAGGGTAGATGAGAGGGCAGACTAGGCATGGTGTATAGTGGGGGAAATACACTCTATTTGGAGTCAGAGGGCCTTCCTGCCAAGACACCTTCTTCCACTTAACCCTACATAGAGGAACCTCCCCTCTCATGGCCTCAGTTTGTTATTTCAATCCTATTCGATTCAAAATGCACTTCCTAAGCACCTACTACATTTAAGACACTGTTTGGCATTGGGGATACAAAGCCAGAAACAAACAAAATAGATCCTCCCCTTATTCTATCAGGCTGATACAAACGGAAAGATAAGTAACTGCAAGATAATTTGAGGGGGCCTGAACACTCACTACGGGGATTAGATTATCATTCTGTAAGAGGTGGACCATCAGGAAGGATGGTGTGAATTCTAAAAACAAGAAGTGAAGAGGAGGTACGTTCCAGAAAGGGCTCAGAGGCCTGTGCAAAGACCCCAAGGCGGGAAAGGGGATGCCCAGGTGCAGGAACAAACGGCCAGTAGGTCAGCTTGGCTAAAATACACAGTGTATACATGGCAGGGAGAAACAGTAAGCCTGAAGAGGTATTGTGAAGGACCTTAATTACCAGGCTGAGGGATTTCTGTTTGAGCCTATTTAGGCAGCGGTGGATTAGGGAGGGGAGAAATTAGAAGGAGGGAAACCAATTAAAAAGCTGGTGCAAGAGTCCAAACAAGAGACGATGGAGGGAAAAAAAATTTTTTTAATTTAAAAAAGAGATGATGGCAGACTTGAAGTCGGGTGACAGTCATGTAAGAAATAAGATTACAGGATCATCCATTTAGATCTACAAGGGACTTCCCAGGATTGTCTAGTCCAACCTCTTCATTTTACAGAAGAGGAAACTGAGGCCAAGAGAGGCTAAGTGACTTGCCTGAGGTCATATGGATAGTAACCAGTAAATTTTTATTAAGTGCCTACTCCATGCTAAGCACCAGAGATACAAAAAGAAGCAAAAGACAGTCCCTGCTCTCAAGGAGCTTACAAGTAAGCAACAGAACCAGGATGTGGACTAAGGGTCTTTGACTGCAGATGTGTATCACCGCACCATGCTCTTCTCACCAGAAATGCAGGAGGTGTTGTAGGGACCTCCACAAACTCTCGAAGCTGAGTGGATGGGGTAGGGAGCCTGAAGGAGAGTGAAGTGTTGAGAATACTCTCAAGTTTCCAATTCAGGTCACTGAGAGGATGGGCAAAAATAAGGCAGATGGGAGGACGGCCTGGTTTCAAGAAGATAATGAGTTCCATTTTGAACACACTGAAAAAATGTAAAATGAGATGTTGGACTGGATGGTCTCTAAGCTCATCCAGTTCCAAATCTCTCCTACCCCCAAGGCACAGCTGGGTTCATCAGTTCCCACTGTTTCACACATGGGACTGAGGAACTGAGAAATTGGCTATAGCTGCCCACCTACCTGCCCAGAAGTAGAGGTCCACACCTGGACATTCCTCTCCAGCAGATGGAAGAGAGGTCACACAGGTGGGAGAAGGACCAAGAGAAGAAAGACTGAAGGAGGGAATATGCAGGAGGAGGGGGTGGTGAATGTTAAAAAAAAAAAGTCAAGGAAGATGAAGACTGAAAAAAGGCCATTCCAATTTGGTGATTAAGAGGTGACCTTTGAGTGAGTAGTTTCAGGAGAGTGGTGGAGGCAGCAGCCAAAATACAAGAGGAGGAATGGGGTGAACAAGTATTGGGAAAGTGAAAGCAGTCAAGGGGAGAAGGGTCTTGAAACAGGAGCTAGGACAGACCCTTCATATGCATCAGAGAAGGAAGCACTAGGTAGAGACTGAAGGGGTGTGTGTGTGTGTGTGTGTGTGTGTGTGTGTGTGTGTATAAAAGAGACAGAGACAAAGAGGAGAGAGACAGGGAGAGAGAGGGAAAAACAGAGACAGAGGCAGAGAGAGAGAGAGAGAGAGAGAGAGAAGAGGAAGAAGAAGGAGGAGGAGGAGGAGGAGGATTTTAAACTCCAGGAGACTGGAGGGAACAGGATCAAAGGCATCAGTAGAGAAACAAGGAAAGGGACCACTTTACCCACTAAGACTGGAGTAGAGAAAAGAGGATGGGTGAAAATGTAGAGTTTTTGAAGACTAAAAAGGGGTAGATGAGAGCATTCACAATATGTAATCCAGAACTTCCTAGTAAAATAGGAGGAAAGGTTACCTGCTAAAAGCAGAGCAGAGTTGGGGAGGGACAAGAAACCAGGTGTGGTGGTATAAACCTTTAATCCCTGCCATGTGGAAACTAGGGTTGGTGGATGGCTTGAGCTTGAGTGTTCTGAGTAGCAATGAGCTAAACCAACAATCAGGTGTTCACATAAGTCTGGCGCCAAAATTGTGAGCCCCCAAGAACAGGTGGCAGCAGGCTCCCTAAAGAAAGACAAACCAGCCCTGGTTGGAAACAGGTCAAAGCTCCCATGCTGACCAACAGTGAGATCAACCTGTAAGTGGCCATCATACTTACAGACTGAGCAAGATGAGGAGACCCAGTCACAAATTTTTTTTTTATTTGAAAAATAAAAGATGGGATGGAAGTGGGGCTGGAGACGTGGGGAGGAAAGGAACACACCCAGACCAGTCACTATTGGAAGTATGGTTGGGAATCCATCAGAGACAAATAAAAGAAGTGTCGTATATAGGTGAG